TGACACTCAATTACCCGGAATTAACTTGCCATTATCTCTCTGCCTATAAATTCTGTGCCTGCGTGCCTCCCTCCACTTCACCTGATGGAGGATTAGTGCTCCAAAAGCTTGTGATTTTAAACAAATCTGTTGAACCTGGTATCGTGTGACTTTTGACTTTGGCCACTCCAGTCCAACAATGGCACCTCCACATCTTGTAGACAGTACACTCTGCTGCTAATGTCAGTAGTGGAGGGAGTGAATGTTTGTGGATGTGGTGCTAATCGAGCAGGCTGATTTGTCCCAGATGGTGTCAAGTTTTTTGAGTGTTGCTGGAGCTACACTCATCCAGGCAATTGTGCAATATTCCATTATGCATTCCTGGCTTGTGCCTTGTAAGTGGGAGACAGGCTTCAGGGAGTCACTGCAGTATTCCTAGCCTCTAATCTGCTCTTGTCGCCACAGTATTTAAGAGCCACACCAAACTCTATTTCTCTCTTCACAGATGCTGCCAGAATTGCCAAGATTTCCAGCATCTGCAGTATTTTGTTTTCATTAGACACAGTACATATGTGGCTAGCTTAAGGCGGCACAGTGGCTCAGTGGTTAGCACTGCTGCCTCACTGTACCAGCAACCCGGGCTCGACTCCACCCTCGGGTGACTGTCTGTGTGGAGTTTGCACGTTCTCCCCGTGTCTGTGTGGGTTTCCTCCAGGTGCTCCAGTTTCCTCCCACAGTCCAAAGATGTGCAGGTTTGGTGCATTAGCCATGCAAAAATTGCCCGTAGTGTTCAGGATGTATAAGGGGGATAGGTCTGGGTGGGATGTCTGAGGGTCGGTGTGGACCTGTTGGGCCGAAAGGCCTGTTTCCACACTGTAGGGATTCTATGGTCTATGATCTAGTTCAGTTCAGTTTCTGGTCAATGGTAACCCCACAGAATGTTGATAATGGGGGATTCAGCGATGGGAATGTTATTGGGTTAATGTCAAGGGGTGATAGTTAAATTCTCTTCCTTGTTGCAGTCTTCCAACAAAGTGATTTTTAAAAGCTAGGTTTAGGACTGAAATAATTTGTTCTTCCTCTCACAGAGGGGCAGATTTTGACTTCAATGGACAGATGTGAAACAAGTTGGACAGTCACTATCACCTCTTGTGCAACTATTTGACAAAGTAAAAATCTACTTCAAGAGTGCTCAATGGACTTCAGACAATGTACGCAAACAAAAATAATCGATTATCTTAGAAACTAGTGCTGCATTGGAGAAGATTCAAAGCTCTTTATAGTCAAGGAGTTGAAAAGAGGAAAATAGCTTTCATCTTCCAGCCCCTGATCTCGAGGCTTCTTCCTCACACATTGTGTACAAAATAAACATATTGGTTTGAGATGCATAATTTATGAATCCCAATTTTGGATCACCATAGATAAATTCAAACTTGAAGATACAATTCACACTGACACTATGAATGAGCTTCAGAACACTGATAAGATGTATTTTAGACAGATTACAATATCATTCATGTGGCAATTATTGGCCCATATTTATATAGTCTTGATTGATCTATGGCAGATTTTATAAGAGGGAATTTGTATTCCATTAAGTAGTTTATAAACCAGGTTCCCTCACACTCATATCATCCTCCTGTAGATTCGCCTGCACTGTGATCAATAATCTTCAGAAAGTCTGTTAACAAGTCCCTAAGACTATGACACCATGTCAGCCAATTGTGGTTTAAGTGCACTTTCTAATATTCCCTCTTGCACTCTTTGAATAATACCTTGTCTTTTATTTCAAGATTAATAAATCAATACATGAATTGCATTAGTACATCCATATGCTTCAAAATTAATGTGTACATTTGAATAATTTTCTTTCAATTAACTTTAAATGTTTTACATTCATTTACCTAAACTATCTATAAAAATGAAATAAGGTGACACGGAGTACTTTAACGTATCCATATATGAGGGAGAAAGGGGAAAAGCTTGCACTTATGTAGAAAATTTCTTATTCCCTACATTCCAAAGTACTTTATCGACAATGAAATATTTCTGAATTATAGTCATTACTGTAATGTAGGAAATATGGCAACCAATATGCACATACAACAATGTGATAAACTGATAAATCAATATTTTTCTTTAATTTACTGATTCCTGTTAAACAAAGGGTAACTAAGCTTCCTAGCTTTATTTAAGCAAATTATTAATGGAAGTCATTCAAATGGGTAGGTTGTGGGAGGGCCTGTATCAAAATGTCCAAACAACAACTAATCCACGTGAGTTGAGAAAGAAGAGATCAGAGTTCATTTTCAGCAAGTTATCTCCAGTGTGGAACATCACCAATCGGGGCAGAAAAATATCCAAAGATCTTCCTTTGAAGTATCTGACCAAGCTCCATGACTTCTCTGTAACATATTTGAGGGGGACTAGGCATTCAAATTTTCAACGATACAGTTCACATAACTTTCAGAAAATTTTGTTCTGCCTGAATGATTTGTAACGAAAACAAAAGTTGAAGGAACCCAGGATACTGTATAGGACTGGGTGGCTGCAGGGTCATTTGAGACCTTGCTTTTGGGCTTGGGGTGATGTTGCCCCTTTTGTGAGTCACCCCAGGCCCAAATAAGGACTGCAAGCCTTGTCCAACAGTGGACCCAGTGTATTTTTGGAGGATATACACACAAAGAGGCTGCAAAGTATAAATAAAGTGAGTGGGCAAACGTTTGGCAGATTGACTATAATGTGGGAAAATGTGAGCTTTCAGAATAATACAGCAAACTATTACTTAAATGGACAGACAGGTATGGGAAAGAGACTGCAGAATGTTGCTGGGTGGCCTTTTCTAAAATTCATTCACAGGATGAAGGCGTTTCCTTCCCTAAAGGGAACCAGATGGGTTTTTTCCAACAATCATCATCATTAGATATTTATTGAATTCAAATTCCACCATCTGCCATGGTAGGATTTGAACACAGGCCCCCAGAACATTCCCTGGATTAATGGTCCAGTGATAATACCACTAGGTCATTACCTCATCATTGGGAAGGAAACTGCCATCCTTACCTGGTCTGGCCTACATGTGACTCCAGACCCATAGCAACGTGGTTAACTCTTAACTGCCCTCTGGGCAATTAGGAATGGGCAATAAATGCTGCCTAGCTAACACCACCCTCATTCTGTGAATGAATAAAAAGAAACTATTTGTCTAGCCTTCCTTTTGGAGATTTATAGAGACTAAGAGCAGGAGTAGGTCCCAATTCGAACCTTCCAGCCATTCACTATGATCAGGGTTGTTCCTCCTTTTTAATGCCATATTCCTGCTTTCTCCACTTATCCCTTGACTTATATCAAATATCTAAAAATCTAACTTCCTTGAATATGTGGACTTGGCCTCCACAACCTCCTGTGGTAGAGAATTCAACAGGTTCACTAACACTTTGAGTGAAGAAACCTTTCCTCATCTCAGTTCTAAATGGTTTATCCTGCATGCTGAGACTGTGTTCCTTGGTCCTAGACTCCTTGACCAGGGGAAACATTCTCCCCACATCTATTCTGTCCAGCCCTGATAAAATTTTATACATTTCAATTGGATCCCCCTCTCATCCTTCTAAACACCAATGAATATGGGCCCAATTTATGTATTTAGTGAATTCAAATTCAAATTCAATATAGCTAACATGATTGAATCTGAACCTGCGTCCCCAGAACATTACTCTGGTTCTCTGGGATGCTAGCCTAGTGATATTTTGACTAGATCACCAACTCCCCTTGACAATAGGGTAGAGAACTGAGGGAAGGGAGGTTCAGGAAAGTGGAGCTAAGGCTACAATCAGCCCAGCCCTGAACAGTGAAACAGGCTCGGGGGGTTGAATAGCAACAGCCCCATCACTTGAAATCTTCAAGATTTATCTTCAGATTATTCCTATTTAAAGGTTTTTATATGTCCCAGCTCAGAAGGTCATGTCTGCTTTAGCTAGCACTATCCATTAAAGTACTGGCAGAACATGGATTTTATCCTGTGATGCTGACAGAAGTGGCCTCCATCTGCTCCTGTTTCTTATGATTGTACAATGTAATAAGAGCTGGAACCTTGGGAGACAATGACTGCAGAGGTGGATCCTTCATGATGACTTGTGTTTCCTTTAACCATTCATGAGAAAGGCAAGAGAAAATGACCTCAGGTATTTTAAATTTTGAACATCCAGTTGTTTTCTAAATCAACCTGTTCAGAGATATTTTTACACACCTGGAGATTTCAACCTGGGCCTCCAGGCTCAGAGTTAGAGACACTCCAATACAGCACAGAAACAGACCCTTTGGTCCAAATAGTCTATACCAAATAAAATCCCAAACTAACCTAGTCCCACCTGTCTGCTTCTGTCCCATATCACTCCAAACCTTTTCTATTCATGTACTAACCTCAATGTCTTTTAAACATTGTAACTGTACCCACATCCGCCACTTCCTCCAGAAGTCCATTCCACCCACGATCAACTCTCTGAGTAAAAAATTTGCCCCTCATGTCTTTTTTAAATCTTTCTCCTCTCACCTTAAATATGTGCCCCCTAGTCTTGAAATCCTCCACCCTAGAGAAAAGACAACTACCATAAACTCTATCTATACCCCTCATTACTTTGTAAACTTCTATTAGGTTGCCTCTCAACCTCATGCGCTCCAGTGAAAACAGTCCCAGCCTATCCAACATTTCTCTACAACTCAAACTTTCCATACCCGGCAACATCCTGGTAAATCCCTTCTGAACCCTCTCCACCTTAATAATATCTTTCCTATACCCATGTTGCTGGATCATTAGCTTGGGCCTCTGCAATTATTGATCACTACTATTCCCATAATACCATTCCCTTGCCCCTCAGGTATTTTCCTGAGCAATATTGCTCATTGAGGCTGAAGATGGCAGCTTGGGACATGTGACTGAAGCAAGACTGTGAGGCGTGCAGAAGACCTGCCCTAGGAGCAGATCCCCAACACGTACAAAATGAAGGAACACGATGCAGCTGTCTTTAATGGGTTTCAAATGCTGTTTTCACCAGCCTTTGTGTGGTTTTCACCCGTTCGCTTAGCGAATCCTTCAGGAGCATGGCAGTGAAACAAAATGATGAGACCGCTCCAAAGACAGAAATAATCAGTGGTGTGAAGCTCAGTTTGACCTCAGCTACTGCACAGGCAACAGCGCTGACGCACAGCAGCGTTCTGATCAGTGCCCGGGGTATTTTACCTGGCGACTTGAGAGCGGTTTGCAGAGCTGGCAAGGGCTTACCAGCTGTGGTCGCCAGCTTCTGCAAACACTTATCGCGTAGATCCCGCTGGTGCCAGAGGTACAGCAGCCCTGCTGCCAATAGCCCAATGCAAGTGGCAAAGGACAACCCTGGAATGGGTACAGCTCCCACGGCCCCAGCAAGCGTGGCAGTCATCCAGATTCTTTTCTCTAACATTTTTCTTTTCTGCTCCATTATCCGGGAAGTTACATCCGGGAGAGAGAGCAAGAATGCCGCCTTGTCGACCTTTTGCAGGTGGCTTGCGAGGGCCAGCTTTAACGCGGGGAAATCAAACTTGTCCGGGTGGAAAGCTGAAACCAGAAAGATGGTGGGTGCTGCTGCAGACCCTGCGCCCTCTAAGCTGCTGGCACAGTCTGTCCTGAGCCTTTGTAACTCATCGTCAAAAGCCGTGCTCTCCATTTCCTCTGCAGTGCCAGTCAGGCTGTCAACTTTAGTCTGAACCAAGTAAAATGGTTTGCCCTCTTGTTGGATTGCTTTAGCAGACTCACCCGCACTTCCTTTGAATCGACGGTCTGACACAATAATAAAGATGTCATATTGTCCAATGTTTGCCATTTTTAGGTAATCATTCAGTTGCAGTTTAGAAAGGTCTATTCCTGGAAGTTCCCAGAATTGAACTTTCGGCAAAACAGGATGCAGATATCCAATTGGTTCTTTATTGGTTTCTTTGTCGACAACTCTTTTCTCCTCACTTATTTCAGGATCTATCATCCCTGTGATCAAGGTAGATTTCCCTGAGCCTCCTTCGCCCATAACTGCAATATTAAGCTGTGCATTATCCAAGTCATCTAATTTATTCTTTATATCTGGTATAACTGCTTCCAATCCACCAGTGTTATAACTGGCTTGAAGTTGTTCAATTTCTTCCATATTGAAGAATGTGGAAGACGCAGTCATTCGATCTGTGATGAGAAAAGAAACATTTACATAATACATCCAGATTCGTCAACTATCTAATTGATCTTTAAATGGAGAGTACTCACTGAGGATAGTGTCAACATAAATAAGAATACTGACAATGCAGCAATGGCATGGTGGCTCAGTGGTTAGCACTGCTGCCTCACAGCACCAGGGACTCAGGTTCAATTCCACCCTCGGGCAACTGTCTGTGTGGAGTTTGCACGTTCTCCCCATGTCTGCGTGCTCCAGTTTCCTCCTGCAGTCCAAAGATGTGTAGTTGGGTGGATCGGCTATGCTAAAATTGCTCATATTGTCCAGGCATGTGTAGGTTAGGTGGGTTAGCCACAGGAAATGCAAGGTTACAGGGATAGGTAGTGGGGGAAGTAGATAGAAGGGTTGGTGTGGACTCAATGGGCTGAATGGCCTGCTTCCACACTGTAGGGATTGTATGTTCTTGATCTTTAAAAATGTAATGTGTGTGAAATTAACCCCCGCAAAAGTTTACTCACTCAGCATCCCTGTCTCATTAATCAGCATTGCAGCATATCCATAACCAACTCCAATGAAGGGGACTAGCATAACAAGTGGGTGTCTAACAGGTTAGAGGAGTGAAACAAACATAGAGAATGCTGGAGAAACTCAGGAGGTCTGGCACCATCTATGGAGAAAGCAAGTTAATGTTTCAAGTTTGGTGACCAATCATATCAGACTCAAAATTTTAACTCTGTTCCTCTCTCTGCAAGTTACTGCCAGACTTGCCCAGTTCTCCAGCGCTCTCTGTGTTTGTTTCAGATATCCAGCATCCACAGTATTTTGCTTTTATTCGAATGGTGAGGAGTGGTTTGGCATTCAGGGGTGCCAGGTGATAAAATGTGAAATTGGCACAAGAAATGTGCTGAATTCGAACACAGCAATTTATTTCTGGCCTGCCTTTCATCAAATCTTCGAATCTTTCAGCACCCTAGGAGTTACTTGGCCCATTAGACCTTTACTGGACCTTGGAAAGAGTTGCCTAATTTAGTCCTGAAGCCTGTACGCCTACAAATTGCTGTTTTGCAAATACATGTCTAATTGCCTTTCAAAAGTTCTATAGATCGAGATTCTATCACCCTTTTGGACAGTGTTCTCCAGATTCTAACATCCCTCTGTGGGGAGAAATTTCTCCTCACTTCACCATTCTTCAGCGAATTATTTTAAATCACTCAGGTATATTGAAACTAGTCCAACTAGGGAAGAGGCCCTATTAGGCCTTGTATTGGGGAATGAGCCTGGTCAGGTGATTGAAGATTCAGTGGGGAAGCATTTTGCGAACAGTGATCATGATTCTGGATGTTTTAAGATATGGAAAAGGATAAGACTGGTCTTTGGATGAAAGTGCTAAATTGGGGGAAGGCTAATTATGACATTAATAGTCAGGAACTGTGGAATTAGGTTGGGGGCGGCTTTTTGAAGGTAAATCCACATGCGACGTGTAGAAGTCTTTCAAAGGCCAGTTCAGGACCAACATGTTCCTGTGAGGATGAAACATAAGGATGGCAAGATTCAGGAACCTTGGATGACGAGAGATGTTGTAAGTTTAGTTAAAAAGAGAAAGGAACCATATGAAAGGAAACAGAAATCAAACAAGGCCTTTGAGGAGTATAAAGGAAGCAGAAAATAACTTTAAAAGAAATTAGGGGTGCTAGAAGAGGCCATGAAATGTCCTTTGCAAATAGGATTAAGGAGAATCTCAAAGCATTTATACATCTTTTAAGAACAAGAGGATAACTAGGGAAAGAGTAGGTCCACTCAAGAACAAAGGAAAGAATTTATGTGTCGAGCTACAGGATGTTGGTGAGGTCCTTAATGAGCACTTTGTATCAGTATTCACCAAAGGGAAAGTGAAACAGAGGGGGACTGGCTAGAACGTTTACGACAGTTAAACCAAAATACAAACCCCACTCTGTTGTGATGGGAGTAGGGGCTCCCCTCTAAAATTGACCGCCGAAACACCCAGAGAATCTCGCCTTTCCCCTTGTAATCTGTTAAAAGAGTGGTTAAAAGGAAGAAAATCCCTGATCTCCACTTTACAAGTTAACCCTAACAATGAACAAATAAACAGAATTACTAACAAACCCAACAATTTCCCCTTAGACTACTAATTACTTCCTATCTGAACTAAATTCTGCTGGAATGCTGTACAAATAAACACAAGTCCCACTTACATAAACCCAATTAATAAGACAACAATAAATTAAAACTTAATGTTTCCAAGTTCAGACAGACTGTCGACTGGAACACTGATTTTTCCAGCATTTCTTCTGTCAATCTCATGTCACAAATGTCTTTCTGTTGCTGATTCTGCTGTCAGGGATGTTTTCCTCTGTAATTGCTTCCGTGAGGACTTTTAGCTGGAAATGCCTTGGTACTGTTTTAATTAGATGGTGCTTTTTCTGAGAACAAAAGGAAATATTGCCTCTTGGCTCGGGGAGGTGATGGCCTAGTGGTATTATTGCTGGACTGTTAATCCAGAGACCCAGATAATATTCTGGGGACCCAGGTTCGAATCCCACCATGGCAGATGGTGGAATTTGAATTCAATAAATATCTGGAATTAAGAATCTAATGATGACCATGAATCAATTGTCAATTGTCAGGGAAAAGCCCATCTTGTTCACTAATGTCCTTTAGGGAAGGAAATCTGCCATCCTCACCTGGTCTGGCCTACATGTGACTTCAGACCCACAGCAATGTGGTTGACTCTTAAATGCCCTCTGGGCAATAAATGTTGCCTGGCCAGCAATGCCCTCATCCTGTGAATGAATAAAGGAAAAAAAAAGTTGGTTCTCACCCGATTTCCAAAAAAACCTTTCTTATATCCCTATGACACATGAAATCCTTATATCGTAATTGGTTTCAGGTTGTCAACACCATCAGATTTAAATTTGATAGGTTTTTTAGTATCTAAGGTCTTGGTTTAAATTGATTGGCTAAATTTGAAAAGACTTGTTGTCTTGGTAAAAATGCCGCTGTTAAATACAAAATGTTTCCATTCGGGCACTCTCTGTGTGTGCACCTACACATCAAACTACTGGTCAGACATCCATTTAAACTCTAAGCACTGAAAAAAAACACCATCTTTTAAACGGACAATGCACTGCTTTTCCCCATTATCATTTTTACCAACAAATTCTAACTTCCTGCCTTCTAATTCATGAATACTCTACCCAACTTCTGAATAAAAGACATGGATGATGGTAAGTTTAGAGAAGGGTTTGTTGATACTCTAAAGCATTTGGTATTAAGAAGGAGCAGGTGTTGAGTGTCTTAAGGTAGACACGTCCCCAAGGCCTCATGGGATCTATTCTAGGATACTGAAGGCAAAGGAGGACATTTCTGGGGTCTTAACAGGGTTCTTTGTGTCCTCTTCAGCCACAGCTGAGGTCCCAGACTATTGGAGAAAACAAATGTTTGTTTCTTAGGTCAAGAAGGGCAACAGGGACAATCCAGGAAATTATAGGCTGGTCAGCGTTACATCAATAGTAGCAAAAAATTATTGGAGAAGATTCTTAGAGACAGGATCTCCTTGCATTTGGAGAATAATGGACTTATTAGGGGTAGTCAGCATGGCTTTATGCAGGGGGGTCTTTGTCTCAAAACTTGATTGAGTTTTTTGGGGAAGTGGCGAAGATGATTGGTTAAGGGAAGGCAGTGGATGTTGTCTACATGGGCAACATGCATTTGGCAAGGTCCCTCATGATAGGCTGGTTCAGAAGATCAAATCGTGTAGAATCCATGATGAGTTGGTGAGTTGGATGTAAAAATGGTTTTGTCATAGTAGGCAGGGGGTAGTTGTGGAGCAGTGTTTTTTACAGACTGGAGATCTGTGACCAGTGATACTCCACACGGATCAGCACTGAGACCTGTTTGTAGTACATATAATTGATTTGGATGAAAATGTAGGTGGTCTGATTAGTAAGTCTGCAGATGACACAGAAATTAAAGGAGTTGTGGACAGTGAGGAATGTTGTCAAAGGATTCAGAAGGAGATAGATCAGCTGGTAAGTTGGGCAGAAGAATGACAGATGGAGTTTAATTTGGACAAAAACAAAGTTGCTGGAAAAGCTCAGCAGGTCTGGCAGCATCTGTGGAGGAGAAAACAGAGTTAGCGTTTCGGGTCCGGTGACCCTTCCTCAGAACTGTTCTGAGGAAGGCTCACCGGACCCGAAACGTTAACTCTGTTTTTCCCTTCACAGATGCTGCCAGACCTGCTGAGCTTTTCCAGCAACTTTGTTTTTGTTCCTGATTTACAGCATCCGCAGTTCTTTTGGTTTTTATTTAATTTGGACAAGTTTGAGGTGATGATTTTGGGATGCAAGAGGAAAGTATACAGTAAATAGACAGTCCCTTACGAGCGTTGATATAGAGAGAGATCGTGGGATCCAAGTCCATAGTTCCCTGAAATTGGCAACACAAGTGGATAAAATGGTAAAGAAGGTACACGGTATGCTCACCTTCATCAGTTGGGGCACTGAGTAAAGAAGTTAGCAAGTCATGTTGCAGCTGTATAAAACCTTGGTCAAGCTACTTTTGGTGTATTGTGTGCAGTTCTGATCGCAGCACTATAGGAAGAACATGGAGGCTTTAGAGAGCGTGTGGAAGAGATTTACCAGGATTTTGCCTGGATTGGAGTATATTAGCTGTAAGGAGAGGTTGGACAAACTTGGATCATTTTCGCTAGAGTGTTGGAGGGTGAGGGGTGGCCTGATAGAAATACATAAAATTATGAGAGGCATGGAGTCTTTTTTCCCAGAGTGGAAATGTCAAATTCTTGGGGCATAGCTTTAAGGTGAGAGGGGGAAAGGTTAAAGGAGATGAGCAAGGAAACTTTTTTACACAGAGGATGGCAGGTGCCTGGAATGCACTGCCAGGGAAGCGGTAGAAGCATATACGATAGCAACGTGTAAAAGGCATTTAGGGAGACACACGAATGGGCAGGGAATAAGAGGGATATGGAC